CTAGACAGCCGAGACTTCAAAGTGCATTCATGGGCCGATATGACATAAACACGAACTATGTACCATACTAAACAGAGAAGGAGAGAGAGAGACAGGATAGAGAGAACTAGAGATAGCTAATAACGAATAAACCAGGTTTCAGCAACGAAAATAATTTAAAACCGGAGACCGCTGACGTTGTAAACAGTATTTAAAAAAAATACATGTCACTTACTGACAATACTGGTCGTAGCTAAGTATCTCTGGTTTATCTAGTCCATTACTTACGAGACATGCTAAGACACTATCACAGCCGAAACTTCGTTTCAGATGTCTGCAACAGGGGGGGGGGGGAGTGGAAATAACAATCATTGAGTCAGAACACAATAGGGGGGAAATATAACATTAATATATCTTCTTTCTTCTTCTTCGTTCTTAATTATAAGTGTTGAAGGGGATCGAGATTTATCTGCCAGTGGGTTTAAACTCGAGACTTTTGTTCGAATTTATCAACCATGAGCTGTTTGCCGACTCGACCACGCCTCCAACACAACAGTGTCAACTGGTTATGCGCCATTGAGGCCATTGACTCCGATTTCAGCCTGCTTTTCTTTTTGGATTTGCTTCCATAGCCTTTGTCCAACCAAGAACAAACTACAAGGCAGCAGTTGTTTTAATTTTGGAGTTGTCTCTCCTAGAAGAGTGGCTGTCCCCAGCTAACGAGCCTCATCTGCCCGAGGGTTCGAACTCGAGACTTTTCGGTTTAGCAAACATGAGCTTTACCGACTCGACCACGCCGACCCCTACATTAATATATATAGCAGGAAATATTAAAAAAAAGTATTGAAAACATTTCAAACAAACATTCTAATTCAATGCTACGGCTTTCGTTTTTTTCTATAAATAACTTTACTATGAAGCTATATACGAATTTATTTAATGTTTTAAGAAACTGTATATAATGCAGTAACATAAAAAAATATACTAAAAAAATTTGACAAGTTTTTTTTTTAAACTAATTTTTGTTTGTTTCTTTACCTCAGTCTGGGTGATATTGTCCAGTTAATAAATAATCCTTTTTGTTAGAGAAAACATAATTTCTAAAATTGTAATCTTCCGAAATAATTAACGAAATTTACGAAAGCCTTTTAATAATAGCATAATGTATATCCTAGCGTAACTGAAATAGAAAATAATAAATCTGAATGTCATTACAACAAGAAAACATTTTAAACCAAAAGTTTTCTCATGCTACTGACCTGCAGCGATGTAACAAAGAGATAAAACCAAGACGAGTTTGAACATTTTGGAAGTGTGAAACAACGAAATCTGGCTAGGTGATAAAACACTTCTGGTACAATGTCGTCGTGATGTACCAGATTATATAGGACGACAGCAGGTGTTAACCCTTTCATGACCATCAGTATTGTACAGCACGCGTTAACCCTTTAGGGACTATAATAACAGTAACCACACTTTAATGATTTAAAATGCATTTTTTTTCTTTTTTCTTATGCTCAGGTGTGGATGGCATATTAATTATTTAGCTATATATATAAATTTAATATATATATATATATATATATATATATATATATATATATATATATATATATATATATATATATATAATATATAATATATAATATATATATATATATATATATATATATATATATATATATATATATATATATATTTATATATTTATATATATATATATATTTATATATTTATATATATATATATATATATATATATATATATATATATATATATATATATATATATATATATATATATATATATAAATTTAAATATATATATATATATATATATTTATATATATATATATATATATATATATATATATATATATATATATATATATATATATATATATATATATATATATATATAAATTTAAATATATATATATATATATATATATATATATATATATACATATATATATATATACGAGTTTGTGTGTGTGTCTGCCACAGTCCGGAAACGATTTAATAATTACGGTGTATGATTTCCTTTCCCTAAAAGTTTACTCGACGCCAATTAAATCACACTTTAGATACGTCATCTTTTTTAAATAAAGCGGGAGGGAGCTCCCCTAAACTTTCTCCAATGTTCTAATATAACACTAAGTTGGAAGGCAACTGCAGTGTAATCGGGGCATGGACATGTTTTTAAAATCAATTTTTTTTCCATTTTTAAATAGAATAGAATCGCGAAAAATATTAATTGCGCGCCAAATAAACAGCAAACAATGTGTGTAAATAAGTGCAGAACATTAGGACTTAATCAAGAAAACCTTGATTAATTTTCAAAGAGTTAATACAAAATCAAATTTATTTTTTAAAAAATGTTGTCACAATACATTGCCGACGAGTCTAGTTTGGTGAATCAGTTTTAGGATTTTGATGGGGGTCAAAACACAAAACTAACTCATATGATTCACGATCAGATTTCGATAGTGCAAACTATAGAACTATTAATAGAGTTCGATGAATTACCATATGGAAGTGAAATTGTTGAATAGTTGAAATAGAACAGCAAATTTGATATAATAGTTTGAAACATCCAGGCGAGTAGAAATCAAACTAGCTGGTTGGAAAAAAATTGATAAAGGTATTATCCAAAATCTTGGGAACCCCTGACACGCTGGATTTATGTGATGAAGTCTCTCCAGTAATCTCTCACAGACAGCTGTAGCTGAAAACGTTTTCAGGTAACCAATTCATTAAAACTATAGATCAGTGGTTCTTAACCTGGGTTAGATCGAACTCCAGGGGTTTGGTGAATCAGTTTTAGGATTTTGATGGGGGTCAAAACACAAAACTAACTCATATGATTCACGATCAGATTTCCATAGTGCAAACGATAGAACTATTAATAGAGTTCGATGAATTACCATATTGAAGTGATGGAGTTTGGTACTTTCAGAAGGGTTAAGAACCTCTTCTATAAATCCCTAAAATTACGACCTATACGGTGCAACCAAGTTAATTTTATTTTTCAACACCGTGATTTTTTACCTTATCCCTAGCTCTAATAACCTAAATCTGTATTTATCAGCAGACATCCATATATTCTCTCACATAATTCTAACTTGTCGTACAGTCTTAGCGTGTTGGCATGCCAAATGTTCCAGTATCTTCTTTTAAATATCTTATGTTGTGTTGTAGGATTACATTAACAAACAAATAGTGGGGGATTGATAAAGGCAAATTGTCTAACAGTAAATAAAAATGGATCGATCTCATGTCATGTGTGGTAAAGTTGGCACTGGCTTGGTCTTGGGATTAGGGATAAGATTAAAATATGGTATGGGTTAGGGTTTTAAGTTAACGTTAAGGTTCAGGTTTAGGTTTATTTTTAAATTAAGGTTTAGGTGGACGAGAGCTCAGGTTTGGGTTCAATTTCTGGTTTAGGTTAATGTTTGATTACCAATTCAGGTTAAGCTTTCTCTTAAGGTTCAGGTTCTTGCCGAGGTATGGTTTCGAGTACGGGTTCTCGTTCAGTTTGATGTTGATGTTGCTGTTGGTGTTGGTGTTAAGTTTGACGTTAGGATTGAAGTTTAGGGTAAAGTCAAGTTTAGATTAATGCAAATTCCAATGCCATTGCATAGGTTTAGGTTTAAATTTAGGTTTGAGTTTTAGCTGTACGTTTTGATTGAGGCTGAAGTTGAGGTTGAGTATTTGCTTGAATTGTGTATTATTAAATCACTTCTTTACATATTAATGTATCTAATACCAGCAATATTTGAACAAAGTAAGCCAAATTTATGTCGCACACTATCATCATGTTCATAATGATCTACTGTTGCTTTATTTTACTTTATAGATAGATCAATTCATGATGTTTGTTTTTCTGATTTAATTATTTCAAAATACATGGCTGAAGGCTAAAAATGCCAGAATGTTGTTCTTAAGGCAGGGGGTGTGGAGCGGGGGGGGGGGGGGGGGGGAAGATATGTCCCCGGGCACCGACCTTAGAGGGCGCCAAAATGGGTTGGAAAAATAAATTAAAAGCTTGAAGGGGGAAGCAAATCGAAAGTTTGAGGGGGAGGGGGTTCAAATCGAAAGTCTGAGGAAGGGGGGTGCAAATCGAAAGTTTGTCCCCGGGCGCCGTGAAGGGTCGCTACGCCACTGTCTTTAGGTTCCAATGAAAAAGTAAAGTTAATATTAGGGCATTTATAAGTCTAAAATGTACACTAGTACGTGCATAACTTATATATAAAGAGATCTGATTTTGGTGTGTTTGTGATGTTTTCGGATTCTTTTAGTGACGTGTTGGGATGTTTTGTGATATCTTTTGGTGACAACTTGTGTTTTTTTTAAAATATCTTTTGGTGACGTGTTGGTAGATTTTATGACGTCTTTTGGTGACAGGTTTGAGATAAGCTATGTAACTGGTGGCCGTATATTTTTTTATTACTCTATAAAGTATTAGCCAAAATGGCTTATACTTTATAATGACCTGACTCATGACAATTTTTTCTGATAATGATCACCCATGGCATGGATTGAATGTTGATTAAAGAAACGCTAAGGTGACCATTTCGTTCACAACTATCAAACATTGACTTCAATGAATCGGCATGTTGTTATTCTGCCATAGGCTGGGGAAAAATTGTGGATTTAAACCTAATCAAGGGAAGATTTTCGTTTTTAGTTTAAACATTATTATAATATTTTAATTGTTGTGAAAGTAAGTTCTGTTAAAATTTAATGATTTATTATATTAGAAGTTTTTGTTTTTTAGTTCTCTCCCTTGGTTGAAATGTTTGTATGCTCCAAACGCGAGGTAAGTAACAATGCTTTGCCGATAAATACAAGGAATGGATGATTAGAACTGTACTGCTACATTAAAATATAATCCGATTTTTAAATTTGTTCAGTCAGCTTCACCTGTTTAAGGGAGTTATTTTGTGATTTGATTTTAAAAGTTGTATTTTATTTATATCAAAATTATATTATATGTTCTACCCTTTCAAACTCATAAAACAGATTCCATTGATTTATTTTTCAATCAAAATGACTTTTAGTAAATGAACGATTTTTTAAAAACAAAACCGTTTTATAAAGCATAGACTTTATCAATACGCCAAATCAGTTGTTCACCGTTTTACTTTGGCTGTCTTAGACAGTAATGGAAATATTTTCTCAACACTATGACCTGGGGAATATAGTTTAAGATTCTATTTAACAAATAATATAACGAAAACATTAATCAATTGTTAAGTTAAAGAAACAGGTAAAAGTGATCAAGTTTAGAAGTTAATATGATACTTTTTTTAAAAACACAAATTACAACCAAAAAAATTCTATAAATTATTTTTCCAAAAACACTCACGAGCCTTCCTGGCATGAGAGCGACATTCTAAGCCGTGGAAGAATTGCCCATACGATAATTCAAACAAGCTGCTCTGGAAACTTCCATAAGCACTGCCACAGATTTCAGTACCTGTAGTGAGCACGCATCGGTACAGCTGATCTACCAACCTAAGGAGGAAATGTTAACAAAACAATTACAAGTCATGAAAGTTAAACGACTTTTTACACTATATATATATATATATATATATATATATATATATATATATATATATATATATATATATATATATATATATATATATATATATATATATATATCCTACACAATGATTTAGTAAAATAAAATAAAAATAATTTTTTATAATCACCATAATATTTTAAATTGTCGTGCAAATTTAGCTTTTTTTTCGTTAAATAAATGTACATCATATAAAATCAAATTAACACAGTTAAGAATAACACACGGGCAAACGCTGACGGCTGAAGCATCGTGACCAGAAATCGTGTCAGAGGTTAAGGCAAGCTGTCTTTCATTTTCTAAATAGGTCTCCACACAGCCTGCGGCAGCTTCGTTAGCTTCACCCATCTTCTCCATGTTCTTGGCGCACTCAGAGTCGTCGGCTAAAGTTTCTGAATTTTGAACAACCAATAAATAATTTTCTCATATTTTGGAATTTGACTAGGCTGAAGACTATGAAGCCAAGAAACTACACTTAAGAAAAAATAGAATAAAATCTAGTAGAAAAAGAAGTGCGCACCTAATGAACAGCAAATAATCTGTGTATAATAGTAAGGAACATTAGTACTTTATAAAGAGAGAGGAGTCAAGCTAAAAATAAATGCATTGAGAAATCGGAAAGAGAGTTAAGTACTAATTTTGGTCACAGGGAATTACTCAAGATTTATTTGTAAACAAAGAATTAGATCCAAATGTGAAAAAATTTCTATCTAATAGAAACAACACTTAATTTATAGGCTATTGAAAAACTTAAAGTGGAATTAGTTCCATTTCTTGTTATTGGAAATCGCTCACAAGTTGATACAGAACTATAAATTTGATATATTACTTATACATGAAATTTCGTCAACCTAGCTGCGTTTCACGGTACTCAAATTATCGTGTTCAGAGATAGACAGACAGACACATGCACACACATTCACAAACACACACACACACACACACAAGATTGCAAAATTAAGGTTTTCCGACTCAGAGTGGTCTAAAACGTCTAGATTTGTGAAAATTTCAATTATGATTTTTTGAACGATTACAATACGTCCTCTGTACTTCGTATAAGAGAAAAAAATGGGATGAAGAATATAAAGAAACTCGCACTTGGAGAAATAGAGTTCAGCAAGCTTTAGATTTGTTTGTGGATTTTTCAAGATAAAAAAATGACGCTTAAAAATCTCATTTAGATCTATATCCTGTCGACAGAAAATTTAATTTTTTTCACCGCTGTCCTCCAAACATATTAAATCATCCAAGTTGATCTGAGAGCTAATGTTATATTTGAGATCTTGGTCGTCGCATTGGTCCTCAACATGGTGGTAACAGGAGACGGCGGCTCTTGCTTTCCTGGAAAGTTGTATATGAATTTGTATTAATATATCCCTGATCATTTTAACTGCTACTTATTTCAAAATACTCAAACGTTTGGCATATGTGTACATGATGATGATCTATACTTAAAAACTAATTAAATTTAGCTCAACATTGGCATAGCCCTAACGTATTGAATATTGCAAACTAATTTACTACTTTCAATTTAAAATATAAACTTGGATTTATGTATGGCCTTTTTGACCGACGCAAGTTAATATTTATAACAAGGCACATTATTTCTAACAAAGATCTGGGGAATAATATGGTCGCAGATAGAGCACATTATGACATCCTGAAGGTTTGTGTTCTGGAATGGAGGGAGATTGGATAACTAACATGAGTCCAATAGCTACAGACGTCTGTAGACATAGACAGCCGAGACTTCAAAGTGCATTCATGGGCCGATATGACAAAACATCAGGTTTCAGCAACGAAAATAAAATAAAATCGGAGAGCAATGACGTTGTAAACGGTATTTTTAAAAAAAACATGCCACTTACTCACAATACTGTTCGAAGCTGAGTTTCTCTGAGTTTTCAAGTCTATAATTTCCGAGACATGCTAAGGCACTATCGCAGCCGAAACTTCGTTTCACGGGTTTGCAATCTAGGACTCAAGGTAGGGGGGGGGGAATATAAAATTAATATATAATGCTGGAAATAAAAGAATAGCATTGTGCTGAAATTTAATAACTTTCGAAATATATTTTGACCCGTGGCAATAAGTATTGAAAACATTTCAAACAAACATTTTAATTAAATGCTAGAGCTTTCGTTTTTTCTATAAATAACTTTATTATGAAGCTATATACGAATTTAGTTAATCTTTTAAGAAACTATATATAAAACAGTAACTTAAAAAAAATACAATCATATGTTGCATTACATGGGCTGCATAATTATCCCTCTAAAAAATTTGACAAGTTTGTTTTTTAAAGTAATTTTTGTTTGTCTCTTTACCTAAGTCTGGGTGATATTATCTACTTAATAAATAATCCTTTTTGTTAGAGAAAACATACTTTCTAAAATTGTAATCTTCCGAAATAATTAACGAATTTTACGAAAGCCTTTTAATAATAGCACAATGTATATCCTAGCGTAACTGAAATAGAAAGTAATAAATCTGAATGTCATTACAACAAGAACATTTTTTAAACCAAAAGGTTTTCGCATGCTACTGACCTGCAGCGATGTAACAAAGAGATAAAACCAAGACGAGTTTAAACATTTTGGAACTGTGAAGCAACGAAATCTGGCTAGGTGGTAAAACGCGTCTGGTAAAGTGTCGTAGTGATGAACCAGATTATATAGGACGACAGCAGGTGTTAACCCTTTCATGACCACCAGTATTGTACAGCACGCGTTAACCCTTTAGGGACTATAACAACAGTAACCACATTTTAATGATTAAAAATGCATTTTTTTCTTTTTTCTTATGCTCAGGTATGGATGGCATATTAATTATTTAGCTGTATATAAATATATATATATATATATATAAATAAATAAATAAATAAATATATATATATATACGAGTTTGTGTGTGTGTCTGCCACAGTCCGGAAACGATTTAATAATTGCGGTGTATGATTTTCTTTCCCTAAAAGTTTACTCGACGCCAATTAAATCACACTTTAGATACGTCATCTTTTTAAATAAAGTGGGAGGGAGCTCCCCTAAACTTTCTCCAATATTCTAATATAACACTAATTTGGAAGGCAACTGCAGTGTAATCGGGACATGGACATGTTTTTAAAATCATTTGTTTTTCCATTTTTAAATAAAATAGAATCGCGAAAAAAATTAATTGCGCACCAAATAAACAGCAAACAATGTGTGTAAATAAGTGCAGAACATTAGGACTTAATCAAGAAAACCTTGATTAATTTTCAAAGAGTTAATACAAAATCAATTTTTTTTTTTAAATTGTCACAATACATTGCAGACGAGTCTAGACCTATGAGAAAAGAAGTTTGAATTAAATAGGTCCGGTAGAAGAGTTCGAAGTTTTGCTCGCAAGTTTCCGATCGTAACCTACATAGTACAAAGCAAACAAGTTAAAAATAAAATTTAATTTAAGCGTTTATTTATTTTTTGAGAAATCAGAAATAGCGTATAATACTACTTCCGTTCACCGAGAATTACTCAAAACTAGAATTGAGTTATAAGTTAAATTTCGTTTCTCTTACTGAAACAGTACTCAACTTATAGACTTTTGAAAAACAATTTTTTTTAAAAAATCTCCACTTTCGCTTAGCGGAAATTATTGAAAAATTGATACAGAACAGCAAATTTGATATAATACTTTGAAACATCCAGGCGAGTAGAAATCAAACTAGCTGGTTGGAAAACAATTGATAAATCTAAAATCTTGGGAACCCCTGACACGCTGGATTTATGTGATGAAGTCTCTCCAGTAATGTCTCACAGACAGCTGTAGCTGAAAGGTTTTCAGATGATAAATAATGATCAGTGGTTCTTAACCTGGTTTCGATCGAACTCCAGGGGTTTGGTGAATGAGTTTTAGGAGTTTGACGGGGGTCAAAACATAAAACTTACTCATATGATTTATGATCAGATTTCGATAGTGCAAACGATAGAACTATTTATAGACTTCGATGAATTAGCATATGGAAGTGATTGAGTTTGGTCCTTTCAGAAGGGTTGAGAACCTCTGCAATAAATCTCTAAAATTACAACCTATACGATACAACCACGTTAACTTTAATTTGTCAACACCTTGATTTTTTTACCCCATCCCTAGCTCTAATAACCTTTATCTGTATTTACTAGCACAAATCTATATATTTTCTTACATAATCCTAACTTATCGTACAGGCTTAATTAACGTGTTTGCCTGCCAAGTTTTCTAATATCTTATTTTAAACATCTTATTTCATGTTGTAGGATTACATTAACAAATACCCCGAGATCAATAAAGGCAAATTGTCTAACAGTAAATGAAAATTTGTTGAACAGTTTGTCGTTGATACAGGTTTCTGTCTATCCCATGTTTGGTTCAACTAGGAATGGCTTGTCTTACCGCATCTTTGATATAGCTAACACTGGCTACCTTTAATCCCCTAATTGGTGTAGCTAGAGCTGGCTACGGCTACTCCAATCTTTGATGTAGTGGGAATTGATTGATCTAATATCATGTGCGGTACAGTTTGCACTGGCTTGGTCTTAGGATTAGGGCAAGGATCAAAATTGGGATAGGTATGGGCTAGGGTTTTAAGTTAACGTTGAGGTTCAAGTTAAGGTTTAGTTAAAGGTATAGGGTTAAATTTCAGTTAAAGTTTAGGCTTTGGTTAACTAGAGTTCAGGTTAGGGTTCAGTTTCGGGTTTAGGTTAAGAGTCGAGGTTTAGGTTAATGTTTGGTTACCAGTTCAGGTTACGGTTCCTGTTAGGGTTCAGGTTCTTGCTGAGGTTCGGGTTCGAGTACTGGTTCTTGTTCAGGTTGATGTTGATGTTGATGTTGGTGTTGATGTTGGTGTTGGTGTTGAGGTTGAAGTTAAGGTTGAAGATTAAGGTAAAGTCAAAGTTATGGTAAGTGAATGTCAATATCAATGCCAATGACAATGCCAATGTATAGTTTTAGGTTTAGGTTTAGGTTTAGGTTTAGGTTTAGGTTTAGGTATAGGTTTAGGTATAGGTTTAGGTTTAGGTTTAGGTTTAGGTTTAGGTTTAGGTTTAGGTTTAGGTTTAGGTCTAGGTTTAGGTTTAGGTTTAGGTTTAGGTTTAGGTTTAGGTTTAGGTTTAGGTTTAGGTTTAGGTTTAGGTTTAGGTTTAGGTTTAGGTTTAGGTTTAGGTTTAGGTTTAGGTTTAGGTTTAGGTTTAGGTTTAGGTTTAGGTTTAGGTTTAGGTTTAGGTTTAGGTTTAGGTTTAGGTTTAGGTTTAGGTTTAGGTTTAGGATTAGGTTTAGGGTTAGGTTTAGGTTTAGGTTTAGGTTTAGGTTTAGGTTTAGGTTTAGGTTTAGGTTTAGGTTTAGGTTTAGGTTTAGGTTTAGGTTTAGGTTTAGGTTTAGGTTTAGGTTTAGGTTTAGTTTAAGTTTAAGTTTAAGTTTAAGTTAAGGTTTAGGTTTAGATTTGGTTTAAGTTATGGTTTAGATTAGATTTAGGTTCATGTTCAGGCTCCAAGTGTTATTGATAAAGATCTTGAGAATCTCTGACAAGTAGATGGATCTGGGCTGTTTGACTCACCATTCACCCCCCCCCCCCCCCACACACACACACACACAAACACACTGCTATAGATTATACAGTTTTAAACATCCACATCATTAAAGCCATAGATTATTAAAATTACAAGCTATACTAAGCATCTACGTTAACTCAATTTTTCAACATCGTGATTCTACTACACATTCCCTAGCTATAATAATCTTAGTCTGTTATTATAAGCCTATATCAGACATCCACATCGAGAAGCTAATCACACAGCCACGGTGTCTTTGCATGCTAACTTTTATAATCCCTTCATTTTGTCACTTAATTTAGTGTTGTAGGATTACATTAGCAAAGACATAGCCTGTGATTTATCATGGTCTTTTGTATAACACTAATTAAACTGTTGAAACAGATTGCGATGGGTACAGATTTCTATCTATCCCATAAGGGTATAGCTAACAAGAGTATGGTCTAATACATGGGGTCTCCAAACTACGGCCCGCAGGCCGGATGCGGCCCGCGATGTCCTCTCATCCGACCGGCGGAGATCTTTTTGTCCACGGAAAAAACGTTTGTTGGTGATGGCTGAGGAACTTTGTCCAGAAAAATCAAAGACATGCCTGGAAGAAACTGGCCCTCGAAGTGAAATTTGATAGTTAACGCGGCCCTCGGACTGAAAAGGTTAGAGACCCCTGGTCTAATACAATCCTTAGTGCGGACAGCACACGATTGATCTAAACCCATTCTTAGTGTAGCTAGCAGTTTTCTGTGAGTGGGTGGATTTTAATTCATTGGTACTGATCAGAGGCGTAGCGACCCTTCCCGGCGCCCGGGGACAAACTTTTCGATTTGCACCCCCCCCCAATCGAGATTTCCATTTGCATCCCCCCCCCCCCTCAAACTTTCGATTTGCACCCCCCTCGAGATTTCAATTTATTTTTCCAACCCATTTTTTTCTAAGGACATATAACCCCCCCCCCCCCCCCTCGCTACGCTACTGGTACTGATTAATTTTGTACATTAAAAGTCAACACCACCTCAATTCCTGACCTTGTTTTTTTATCTTTTTTGCATGCTTTTTCTAGTATTATGCCAGAGATTTCGAAGATCAAAATAGTTCTAGATCTATCATACTGCTGAATCTGTACAAATACAACGTAAGACAGTCATTGTTTTTATAATGCAGAGTTTATTTGGCCAATTAATTTATGTTTGCTATAGATATGATATGTTCAGATTTTTTGTACTAATATTTTTTTCTAAAAGAAATAAAGAAATAAAACAAAATACAAAAATATAAAAAGTTACAATATAAATTACAATATAAATATAAACAACAGTATATATATATATATATATATATATATATATATATATATATATATATATATATATATATATATATATATATATATATATATATATATATATATATATATATATATATCTGTTTGTCCTTTATGCTTATACGACACCTTTCAAGTGATTGCCGAGAAATTTTGTGAAGTTGTTTAGAATACTCGGCAGTGCGTGATTCGATATTTCTCTATATACAGAATTTTTTAAAAAATAAGCCAGATTTAGTTGGACACCGTTCTTTTGAGTGACATTAAACATTATGAAAATGATGAAAATACTCAAGAGAAGGTTTCTGCGAAAAACAATAAAATTTCTTATGGGCACCGCCTAAACCTAAACCTAACCATGAACCGAAAAATGAACCTAAAAATAAATCTAAAAAAATAAACCTAAAATTAAACCTAAAAATAAACATAAACCTAAACCTTAACCTAAACCTAAATCTAAACGAAAACCGAAACGAAAACCAAAACCAAAACCTAAACGTAAACCTAAACCTAAATTTATCATTATCGGCATCGTTATCGACATAGACATGAACATCAACATTGACGTTGACGTCGATAAGGACATGGACTTGGACTTGGACATTGTTATTGACATTGTTATTGACATTAATATTGAGATTGACTTTGACATTGGCGTAACTTAATTTTATCCTTAACGTAAACTTCAACTTCAACCTTAACTTTAACATCAACACCAACATCAACGCCACTATCCACCTGAATTCTAACAGGAACCTTAACCTAAACTGGTAACCAAACATTAACCTAAACCTAAACTCTTAACCTAAAACCGACATTGAACCCGAACCTGAACTCTAGTCAACCAAAGCCTAAACTTTAACTTTAACCTAACCCTATACCTATTACTGAACCTTAACTTAACGTTAACTTGAAACCCTACCAGATACCTATCCCTATTTTAATCCTAGCCCTTATCCTAAGACCAAGCCAGGGCCAACTGTACCATAGATAATATGAGATCAATCCATTTCCCGTTATATCAAAGATTGGAGTAGCCTTAGCTAGCTCTACCTACACAAATTAGAGGATTAGAGGTAGCCAGTATTAACTATCTCGAAGATGTGGTAAGACAAGCCAATCCTAATTGAACGAAAGGTGTGATATACAGAAACTTGTAAATAGGACAAACTGTTCAACAAATTTTTATTTGCTGATAGACAATTTGCCTTTACCGATTGCCCACTATTTGTTTGTTAATGTAATCCTACAACACTGCATTAGATGTTAAAGGTATTAGAAAATATATTATGCAAACAGGTTAAGACTGTGCTATAAGGATTTGGTAAGAAGATGTTTGAATTTTGGCTAAAAAACACAGAATAGGGTTATTAGAGCTAGGGATGAGGTAAAAGAATCAAGATGTTGAAAAATGAAGTTAACGTGATGGCACAGTGTAATTGTAATTTTAGGGATTTATAGCAGAGGTTCTTAACCATTCTGAAAGCACCGAACTCCGTCACTTCCATATGCTAATTCATCGAATTTTATTAATAGTTCTATCGTTCCCACTGACGAAATCCGATCATGATGAATACGAGTCGGTTGTGCGTTTTGACCTCCGTCGAACCCATGAAACTAGTTCACCAAACCCCTGGAGTTCGATCTAACCCAGGTTAAGAACCACTGATCTATAGTTTTAATGAAGCGGTTACCTGAAAACCTTTTCAGCTACAGCTGTCTGTGAGAAATTACTGGAGAGGCTTCATCACCTAGCGTGTCAGGGGTTCCCAAGATTTTAGAAAATACATTTATCAATTTTATTCCAACTAGCTACTTTGTTTTCTACTCGCCTTGATGTTTGGAACGGACAGCTGAATTTTTACTGGTCAGCGTCACAACCGACCAGTACACCTGCTTCGTAAGCTACAGGCTATCCTTATTCATAATATACGATTATATTAATATTTAACAAGAATAATATAACATTTTACAATAAAATATTTACATTAAGGTACGTAAACTGCCCGTTCGACTATGACATAATTAAACATCCTAGTTCTATATTTAACCAAATATTTACATAATATTTAGTGTAAAATTGTTCAGAAAAATTAAATGTTATTTTTGGCAGCGTGTGTGTTGGCAAAGAATAAACTGAAACTACCTTTAAACACTGGTTGAACTGTTTGAGAAACCCTGACACCACGTGGAATCACGTGATCACCACGTGGCATCATGTGATATCTCAGTCACAGTTTGAAACCATTAAAGTTGCATTTGGGAGTCAGCTGGTTTCTTTGCGCGTATGGTGAATAAACGTACATTTTAATGAGGTTTAGTTGAAGTTACTTACTCCACTTGCTCTCTCTCTCTCTCTCTCTCTCTCTCTCTCTCTCTCTCTCTCTCTCTCTCTCTCTCTGACACACACACACACACATGCACGCACACGTATTCACACCCACTTACAAACTACAAAAATTACCCAAAGCATAAGATATCATTATATATTTGACAAATTAACTCAGACAAATGACATCACTGCAAAATACCTACAGTATATTGAATATTGGAAGATATTAGTCGAATGAACATTTTTATATTGATACTAGCTGCAAACCCGTGCTCCGCCACGGAAAATCTTTTTTAAATGTACCAGCTTAGGAACAAAACAAAACACAACACAAACACAACACAAACTCAACACAAACACAACACAAACACAATAAAACACAACACAAACACAACACAATCCTAGACGGCTAGTGTTATATAAAATGGTATATCCTCTTGTAGTTTGGTGCAGGTGTCTATAAAACAGCTTTCTGGTTTGACCGACTAAAACGATTTCCCCTTTGTGCGCAAAAAAAGGACAGACAAAAACTTATGCGCAAAGAAAAGACACAAATAATAACCTGCGGGAATTCACGTTCCCGAATAAAGATGTCATTTGTTACTTTATCTTTCTTTGATTAAAAATAAATAAGAAGAAAACAGTAAGTTCAGCGTATAAAATAAATAAAAGGCAGTATTTAAAATACCTACCACATTTCACTTGATCAATCAACGCTAATTATGTAAAAAAAAATTCCCAACACCAAAACAAAGTAATAAAAGGTAAATTTTTTTCCTCCCGATGTAATAGTTTTTAACTAAAAGGGAAGTAATTGTTTTTCGCTAATTTATCAAGGGACGTAAGGGATGCTAAAGAACTAAAAGTAAAAAAATAAAGTTTTTTGAAAGGTGATACATTTTTACTTTCTCGTATATACGTAGTATAGAGAAAGTATTGTAATCGTGCAAAAATAAAAATCGAGATTTCTACAAATCTCGACGTTTTACACCTCACTGATACGGAAAAACATAATTTTGCAATCTTGTCCGTATGTCTGTGTGTGTGTGTGTGTGTGTGTGTAAACACGATTACATGAGTACCGTTACAGCTAGGTTGATGAAATTTCATATAAAAGCATTTTATCAAAATCATTAAGCGTATCAACTTTTGAGCGATTTCCGATAACCGGAAGTGGTACTTTTTCTACTTTGAATTTTTCAAAAGCCTATAACTTGAGTACTATTTCAGATAGATAAATGAAATTTCACATGTAAGTAAAAGATCTAATTCTCTGCCTTCTGTTAAATTTTGAGTAATTTCCGTTGACCAGAAGTAGTAATTTACGCTACTTCCGATTTCTCAAAAAACTATTGTAAATTTTAAAAGTACTAATAATATTGCGCACTATTATGAGCTTTTTTATTTGGCGTTCACTTGGTGTGCAATTAATTTGTCTACGAGATTTTATTCTATTTTTAAAACTTTAAGTATTTAAAATGGATTAAAAATCATGTCTAAAGCCCGAGTTCCCATCCCCTGTTATTTTATATATGAATATTCGAGAAAGTTTAGGGGAGATCACTCCCGGTTTATTTTAATTAACTACTGCTTCTTTGTGTACTTTAAAGATAATTTTTTAACATAGTGATAGGTATGAGTTAGATCACTGTATTGATCACACACCTTTTTACTGGTTATTGCAAAAACAATATTCACAGAGTTTTACGTTTAAAAGCTAATTTTCTGGCGGCATGGTACGTTGGTACATCATTAAGCGTTTTTCTACATGTACTTAACAGATCAGTTCAGGGTGGGTTGAGGGGGGGGGGGGGGTTCAACTTCATTCATCACTGTCCGTTCACTTTAGGTCAATTATCCAACCCAGCGTATACCTAGGTGTGACATTAATGTCGCTCTACACCAACTCAGAGTGAACATAGCGTCAGTTTTTAGATGACTGTTCTAAACATACATATATATTACACAAATATATATTACACAAATATATATTACAGAAATAGATTTAAATAAGTAGCAGTGGTATTATGACAATATTTTACAGAAGGGTCCATGGGAGAGGGGGGGGGGTTGTAATTGTTTCATATAATTTGTAATCATAATCACTATCGCCCAAACGGTCATAATACTACTGCTTCATCGTGATGATGTTGTTGACCTTGTCAAAATTTCCCCACCACTACGTAGTTTGCTCATAAGTAAATTTAAATAGAGGTGCCACATCAGTTGTATTTGTTTCTGTATTGTAATTTTTTAAAAATTAATCACACGATTCAAACTGTATATATAAAGTAATTGTGTGTGAAGTTTTATATATAACATTTTCTAATTCAATTATTCGTAAGCAAATACATTATACAGTTGCCTTAAACTTAAAACCCCTCTTGCCAAGTGGTACTACCTTAGAGGTTTTTTAAACATTGCAATGCATCGTAATGGTTATTTTTAGAATGGCAAGCTGATGTAGCTGTTAATACGTGTTGTAAACGTAGACACTACTAGACTAGTACAATAATGCTTAATTGCTGCATGAAAAGAAATCTTGTGATTTACATCCATGTGCCGACCAAAAATATTTTTTAACAAATATCATTGTTTAAAACTTTGAGTTTAAAAAGTTTCCAAAAAGGCGCCACTTTGCTGAAAATGGCCAGAGAGGGAGCGGCCGCTCCCCCTGCTCCCCCCCCCCCCTGCGTACGCTACTGACCTGAGCATAAGAAAAAAGAAAAAAAAATGCATTTTAAATCATTAAAATGTGGTTACTGTTGTTATAGTCCCTAAAGGGTTAACGCGTGCTGTACAATACTGATGGTCATGAAAGGGTTAACACCTGCTGTCGTCCTATATAATCTGGTACATCACTACGACACTTTACCAGACGCGTTTTGCAACCTAGCCAGATTTCGTTGTTTCACAGTTCCAAAATGTTTAAACTCTTCTTGGTTTTATTTCTTTGTTACATCGCTGCAGGTCAGTAGCATTAGAAAAACTTTTGGTTTAAAAAATTTTCTTGTTGTAATGACATTCAGATTTATTACTTTCTATTTCAGTTACGCTAGGATATACATTGTGCTATTATTAAAAGGCTTTCGTAAAATTCGTTAATTATTTCGGAAGATTACAATTTTAGAAATTATGTTCTCTCTAACAAAAAGGATTATTTATTAAGTAGAAAATATCACCCAGACTTAGGTAAAGAAACAAACAAAAATTAGTTTAAAAAACAAACTTGTCAAATTTTTTAGAGTGGTAATTATGCAGCCCATATAATGCAACATATGATTGTATTTTTTTAAGTTACTGTTTTATATATAGTTTCTTAAAAGATTAACTAAATTCGTATTTAGCTAAAAAAGTTATTTATAGAAAAAAAAGAAAGCCGTCGCATTGAATTAGAATTTTTGTTTGAAATGTTTTCAATACTTATTGCCACGGGTTAAAATACATTTAGGAAGTTATTAAATTTCAGCACAGTGTTATTCTTTTATTTCCGGCATTATAAATTAATTTTATATTCCCCCCTGTTGTGTTCTGGCTCAATGATTGATATTCCCACCCCCACCCCCTCCGTTGCGTTCTAGATTGCAGACATCTGAAACGAAGTTTCGGCTGTGATAGTGCTTTAGCATGTCTCGTAAGTAGTGGACCAGACAACCTAGAGAAACCCAGCTTCGAACAGTATTGTCAGTAAGTGACATGTATTGTTTACACCGTCAGTGGTCTCCGGTTTTATTTTATATTCGTTGCTGAAACCTGATTTATTCGTTATTAGCTCTCTCTATTTTTCTCTCTCTCTTCCTCTCTGTCCTGTCTCTCCCTCTCGGTCCTGTCTGTCTCTCTCTCCCACTCTCTCTCTCTTTCTTGTATATATATATATATATATATATATATATATATATATATATATATATATATATATATATATATATATATATCGTGCAGATAAAATACAAATTTAAATATTTAGAACAAAGAAATTAGTTTAGTATGGCACATAATTCGTGTTACTGTCATATCGGCCCATGAAAGCACTTTGAAGTCTCGGCTGTGTAGGTCTACAGAGTCTGTACTCTCCAAGATTCTAGCCTATTGGCTATTGGACTCATGTTAGTTATCCGATCTCCCTCCAATCTGCGACCATATTATTCCCCAGATCTTTGTTATAAATAATGTGCCTTGTTATAAATATTTACTTGCGTTGGTCAACAAGGCCATAAACAAATCCAAATTTATATTTTAAATTAAAAGTAGTATGTTAGTTTGCAATATTTATTACGTTAGGGCTATGCCTATGTTGAGCTAAATTTAATTATTTTTTAAGTATAGATCATCATCATGTACAAATATGCCAAACGTTTGAGTATTTTGAAATAGGTAGCAGTTAAAATTATCAAAAATATATTAATACAAATTCATAAACAACTTTCCAGGAAAGCAAAAGCTGCCGCCTCCTGTTACCACCATGTTGAGGACCAATGCGACGACCAAGATCTTAAATATAACATTAGCACTCAGATCAACTTGGATTATATCATATGTTCGGATGGAGGCGGTGAAAATTTTTTTTTTCTGTCGACAGGATATAGATCTAAATGAGATTTTTTAAATTTTCATTTTTTTTCTCTTGAAAAATCCACAAATCTAAAGCTTGCTGAACTCTATTTCTTCAAGTGCGAGATTCTTCATATTCTTCATCCCCTTTTTTTTCTCGTATACGAAGTACAGAGGACGTATCGTAAACATTAGCTCTCAGATCAACTTGGATGATTTTGTATGTTCGGATCACAGGGGTGAAAAAAATTAAATTTTCTGTCGACAGGATATAGATCTTACATCTAAATGAGATTTTTAATTGTCATTTTTTTATCTTGAAAAATCCACAAACAAATCTAAAGCTTGATTGAACTCAATTTCTCCAAGTGCGAGTTACTTTATATTCTTCATCCCCTTTTTTTCTCGTATACGAAGTACAGAGGACGTATTGTAATCGTGCAAAAAATCATAATTGAAATTTTCACAAATCTAGACGTTTTAGACCACTCTGAGTCGGAAAAACTTAATTTTGCAATCCTGTGTGTGTGTGTGTGTGTGTGTGAATGTGTGTGCATGTGTCTGTCTGTCTGTCTCTGAATACGATAAATTGAGTACCGTGAAATGCAGCTAGGTTGACGAAATTTCATAAATAAGTAATATATCAAATTTATAGTTCTGTATCAACTTGTGAGCGATTTCCTATAACAAGAAATGGAACTGATTCCACTTTAAGTTTTTCAATAGCCTATAAATTAAGTGTTGTTTCTATTAGATAGAAATTTTTCACATGTAGATCTAATTCTTTGTTTGCAAATAAATCTTGAGTAATTCCCTGTGACCAAAATTAGTACATAACTCTCTTTCCGATTTCTCAATGCATTTATTTTTAGCTTGATTCCTCTATCTCTCTTTATAAAGTACTTTTCCTTACTATTGTACACAGATTATTTGCTGTTCATTAGGTGCGCACTTCTTTTTCTACTAGATTCTATTCTATTTTTTAAGTGTAGTTACTTGGCTTCATAGTCTTCAGCCTAGTCAAATTCCAAAATAAGAGAAAATTATTTATTGGTTGTTCAAAATTCAGAAGAGGAGGACTCTGAGTGCGCCACGAACATGCAGAAGTTTAATGAAGCTGCCGAAGCTGCAGTAGGCTGTGTGGAGACCTATTTAGAAAATGAAAGACAGCTTGCCTTAACCTCTGACACGAATTCTGGTCACGATGCTTCAGCCGTCAACGTTTGCCAGTGTGTTATTCTTAACTGTGTTAATTTGATTTTATATGATGTAGGTTTATTTAACGAAAAAAGCTAAATTTGCACGATAATTTAAAATATTATGGTGATTATAAAAAATTATTTTTATTTTACTAAATCATTGCGTAGGATATATATATATATATACATACATATATATATATATATATATATATATATATATATATATATATATATATATATATATATTTATATATATATATATATATATATATATATATATATATATATATATATATATATATATATATATATATATATATATATATATATATATATTTTATATATATATTTTTATTTTACTAAATCATTGCGTAGGATATATATATATATATACATACATATATATATATATATATATATATATATATATATATATATATATATATATATATATATATATATATATATATATATCCAATCTCCCTCCAATCCAGAACACAAACCTTCAGGATGTTATAGTGTGCTCTATCTGCGACCATATTATTCCCCAGATCTTTGTTATAAATAATGTGCCTTGTTATAAATTTTAACTTGCGTCGGTCAAAAAGACTATACATAAATCCAAGTTTATATTTTAAATTGAAAGTAGTAAATTAGTTTGTAATATTCAATACGTTAGGGCTATGCCAATGTTGAGCTAAATTTAATTAGTTTTTAAGTATAGATCATCATCATGTACACATATGCCAAACGTTTGAGTATTTTGAAATAAGTAGCAGTTAAAATGATCAAAAATATATTAATACAAATACACAGATTATTTGCTGTTCATTAGGTGCGCACTTCTTTTTCTACTAGATTTTATTCTATTTTTTCTTAAGTGTAGTTTCTTAGCTTCATAGTCTTCAGCCTAGTCAAATTCCAAAATATGAGAAAATTATTTATTGGTTGTTCAAAATTCAGAAACTTCAGCCGACGACTCTGAGTGCGCCAAGAACATGGAGAAGATGGGTGAAGCTACCGAAGCTGCCGCAGGCTGTGTGGAGACCTATTTAGAAAATGAAAGACAGCTTGCCTTAACCTCTGACACGATTTCTGGTCACGATGCTTCAGCCGTCAGCGTTTGCCCGTGTGTTATTCTTAACTGTGTTAATTTGATTTTATATGATGTATATTTATTTAACGAAAAAAAAAGCTAAATTTGCACGACAATTTAAAATATTATGGTGATTATAAAAAATTATTTTTATTTTACTAAATCATTGTGTAGGATATATATATATATATATATATATATATATATATATATATATATATTTATATATATATATATATATATATATATATATATATATATATATATATATATATATATATATATATATTTATATATATATTTATATATATATATATATATATATATATATATATATATATATATATATATATATAGTGTAAAATGTCGTTTAACTTTCATGACTTGTAATTGTTTTGTTAACATTTCCTCCTTAGGTTGGTAGATCAGCTGTACCAATGCGTGCTCACTACAGGTACTGAAATCTGTGGCAGTGCTTATGGAAGTTTCCAGAGCCGCTTGTTTGAATTATCGAATGGGCAATTCTTCCACGGCTTAGAATGTCACTCTCATGCCAGGAAGGCTCGTGAGTGTTTTTGGAAGAATAATTTATAGAAATTTCTTGGTTGTAATTTGTGTTTTTTTAAAAAAAGTATCATATTAACTTCTAAACTTGATCACTTTTACCTGTTTCTTTAACCTTACAGTTGATTAATGTTTTCGTTATATTATTTGTTAAATAGAATCTTAAACTATATTCCCCAGGTCGTAGTGTTGAGAATATATTTCCATTACTGCCTAAGAAAGCCAAACTAAAACGGTGAACATCTGTTTTGGCGTATTGATAAAGTCTATGCTTTATAGAACGGTTTTTTTTAAAAAAAATCGTTCATTTACTAAAAGTCATTTTGATTGAAAAATAAATCAATGGAATCTGTTTTATGAGTTTGAAAGGGTAGAACATATAATATAATTTTGATATAAATAAAATACAACTTTTAAAATCACAAAACAACTCCCTTAAACAGGACAAGCTGACTGAACAAATTTAAAAATCGGATTATATTTTAAAGTAGCAGTACAGTTCTAATCATCCATTCCTTGTATTTATCGGCAAAGCATTGTTACTTACCTCGCGTTTTGGAGCATACAAACATCTCAACCAAGGGAGAGAACTTAAGACTAAAACTTCTAAAATAAATCATTAAATTTTAACAGAACTTACTTTCACAACAATTAAAATATTATAATAATGTTTAAACTAAAAAAGAAAATCTTCTCTTGATTAGGTTTAAATCCACAGTTTTTCCCCAGCCTATGGCAGAATAACAACATGCCGATTCATTGAAGTAATTGTTTGAAAGTTGGGAGCGAAATGGTCACCTTAGCGTTTCTTTAATCAACAGGCAAGCCATTCCATGAGTGATCATTATCAGATAAAATTGACAATGAGCCAGTTTGGCTAACTCTTTATAGAGTAATAAAAAAATATACGGCCACCAGTCACATAGCTTGTCTCAAACCTGTCACCAAAAGACGTCACAAAATCTCCCAACACGTGACCAAAAGATATTTTTAAAAAACACAAGTTGTCACCAAAAGATATCACAAAACATCCCATCAAAAGACATAAAAAAAACAACCCAAATTGTCACCAAAAGATATTTAAAAAATCACAACACGTCACTAAAAGACATCACAAAACATCCCAACACGTCACTAAAAGACATCACAAAACATCACAAACACACCAAAATCAGATCTCGTTATATATAAGTTATGCACGTACTAGTGTACATTTTAGACTTATAAATGCCCTAATATTTACTTTACTTTTTTATTGGAGCCTAAAGACAGAGGCGTAGCGACCCTTCCCGGCGCCCGGGGACAAACTTTTGATTTGCAACCCCCCCCCCCCCTCAAACTTTCGATTTGCAACCCCCCCCCCCAGACTCTCGATTTGCAACCCCCCCCCCCAGACTTTCGATTTGCAATCCCCCACCCTTAAACTTTCGATTTGCAACCCCCCCCCCCCAGACTTTCGATTTGCAACCCCCCCCCCCCCCAGACTCTCGATTTGCAACCCCCCACCCTTAAACTTTCGATTTGCACCCCCCCCCCCTTCAAGCTTTCAATTTATTTTTCCAACCCATTTCTATGTCCCCTAAGGTCGGCGCCCCGGGGACATATCTCCCCATCTCGCCTCCACCCCCCCCCCCCTCGCTACGCCTCTGCCTAAAGAACAACTTTCTGGCATTTCTAGCCTTTAGCCATGTATCTTGAAATATTTAATTTAACAAAGAAAAACAAAGTTCATGAATAGACCTATGTAGATCATTATGAACATGCTGATAGTGTGCAACATAAATTTGGCTTACTTTGTTCAAATATTGCTGATATTAGATACATTCATATGAAAAGAAGTGATTTAATAATACACAATTAAAACAAATACTCAACCTCAACTTCAGCCTCGAACAAAACGTACAGCTAAAACTCAAACCTAAACCTAAAACTAAACCTAAACCTATGCATTGGAATTGGCATTAATCGAAACTTGACTTTACACTACACTTCAACCTTAACGTAAACCTCAACCTCAACCTCAACACCAACATCAACATAAACCTGAACGAGAACCCGTATTTGAAATCGTACCTCGGCAAGAACCTGAACCCTAAAAGAAAGCTTAACCTGAATTGGTAACCAAACATTAACCTAAACCAGAAATTGAACCCAAACCTGAACTCTCGTCCACCTAAATTTAAACATAAACCTAAACCTGAACCTTAACGTTAACTTTGAACCCTAACCCATACCTAACCATATTTTAATCTTATCCCTAATCCCAAGACCAAGCCAGTGCCAACTTTACCACATATGACATGATATCGATCCATTTTTATTTACTGTTAGACAATTTGCCTTTATCAATCCCCCACTATTTGTTTGTTAATGTAATCCTACAACACAAAATAAGATATTTAAAAGAAGATACTAGAACATTTGGCATGCAAACACGCTAAGACTGTACGACAAGTTAGAATTATGTGAGAGAATATATGGATGTCTGCTGATAAATACAGATTTAGGTTATTAGAGCTAGGGATAAAGTAAAAAATCACGGTGTTGAAAAATAAAATTAACTTGGTTGCACCGTATAGGTAGTAATTTTAGAGATTTATAGCAGAGGTTCTTAACCCTTCTGAAAGTACCAAACTCCATCACTTTCATATGCTAACTCATCGAACTCTATTAATAGTTCTATCGTTTGCACTATCGAAATCTGATCGTGAATCATATGAGTTAATTTTGTGTTTTGACCCCCATCAAAATCCTAAAACTGATTCACCAAACCCCTGGAGTTCGATCTAACCAGGTTAAGAACCACTGATCTATAGTTTTAATGAAGTGGTTACCTGAAAACGTTTTCAGCTACAGCTGTCTGTGAGAGATTACTGGAGAGACTTCATCACCTAAAGTCAGCGTGTCAGGGGTTCCCAAGATTTTGGATAATACCTTTATCAATTGTTTTCCAACCAGCTAGTTTGATTTCTACTCGCCTGGATGTTTCAAAGTAGTATATCAAATTTGCTGTTCTATATCAACTATTCAACAATTTCCGCTCAGCGAAAGTGGAGATTTTTTAAAAAAAATTGTTTTTCATTCTCGGTGAACGGAAGTAGTATTATACGCTATTTCTGATTTCTCAAAAAATAAATAAACGCTTAAATTAAATGTTATTTTTAACTTGTTTGCTTTATATTATGTAGGTTACGATTGGAAACTTGCGAGCAAAACTTCGAACTCTTCTACCGGACCTATTTAATTCAAACTTCTTTTCTCATAGGTCTAAACTCGTCGGCAATGTATTGTGACAATTTAAAAAAAAAAAAAATTTGATTTTGTATTAACTCTTTGAAAATTAATCAAGGTTTTCTTGATTAAGTCCTAATGTTCTGCACTTATTTACACACACTGTTTGCTGTTTATTTGGTGCGCAATTAATTTTTTTCGCGATTCTATTCTATTTAAAAATGGAAAAAAAATTGATTTTAAAAACATGTCCATGTCCCGATTGCACTGCAGTTGCCTTCCAACTTAGTGTTATATTAGAACATTGGAGAAAGTTTAGGGGAGCTCCCTCCCGCTTTATTTAAAAAGATGACGTATCTAAAGTGTGATTTAATTGGCGTCGAGTAAACTTTTAGGGAAAGAAAATCATACACCGTAATTATTAAATCGTTTCCGGACTGTGGCAGACACACACACAAACTCGTATATATATATATATATATATATATATATATATATATATATATATATATATATATATATATATATATATATATATATATATATATATATAGCTAAATAATTAATTTGCCATCCACACCTGAGCATAAGAAAAAAGAAAAAAAAGCATTTTAAATCATTAAAATGTGGTTACTGTTGTTATAGTCCCTAAAGGGTTAACGCGTGCTGTACAATACTGATGGACATGAAAGGGTTAACCTGCTGTCGTCCTATATCATCTGGTACATCACGACGAAACTGTACCAGAAGTGTTTTACCACATAGCCAGATTTCGTTGTTTCACAGTTCCAAAATGTTCAAACTCGTCTTGGTTTTATCTCTTTGTTCCATCGCTGCAGGTCAGTAGCATGAGAAAACTTTTGGTTTAAAATATTTTCTTGTTGTAATGACATTCAGATTTATGACTTTTTATTTCAGTTACGCTAGGATATACATTATGCTATAATTAAAAGTCTTTCGTAAAATTCGTTAATTATTTCGGAAGATAAAGATTACAATTTTAGAAACTATGTCTTCTCTAACAAAACGAATTTTTATTAATTTGACAATACCGCCCAGATTGAGGTAAAGAAACAAACAAAAATTAGTTTAAAAAAAACATGTCAAATTTTTTTTGAGTGGTAATGATTAAGCCTATGTAATGCAACATATGATTGTATATTTTTTTATGTTACTGCTTTATTTACAGTTTCTTAAAACAGTAACTAAATTCGTATATAGCTTCATAATAAAGTTATTTATAGAAAAAACGAAAGCCGTAGCATTGAAATGTTTTCAATACTTTTTTTTATTTTCGCTATATATATTAATGTTATATTTCCCCCCCTTATTGTGTTCTGGCTCAATGATTGTTATTTCCACTCCCCCCCCCCCCCCCACGGTTGCGTCCTAGGTTGCAGACAGCTGAAAGGAAGTTTCGGCTGTGAGAGTGTCTTAGCATGCCTCGTAAGTAATGGACTAGATAACTCAGAGAAACTCAGCCATTGTCAGTAAGTAACATGTATTTTTTAAAATACCGTTTACAACGTCAGTGCTCACCAATTATTTTTTTCGTTGCTGAAACCTGGTTTATTCGTTATTAGCTATCTCTATTTCTCTCTATCTCTCTCTGCCTCTCTGTCCTATCCTGTCTCTCTCTCTCATTCTCTGTTTAGTATGGTACATAATTCGTGTTTATGTCATATCGGCCCATGAATGCACTTTGAAGTATCGGCTGTCTAGGTCTAAAGACGTCTGTAGCTATTTGACTCATGTTAGGTATCCAATCTCCCTCCAATCCAGAATACAAACCTTCAGGATGTTATAATGTGCTCTATCTGCGACCATATTATTCCCCAGATCTTTGTTAGAAATAATGTGCCTTTTTATAAATATTTACTTAAAAGTAGTAGGTTAGTTTGCAATATTCATTACGTTAGGGCTATGCCAATGTTGAGCTAAATTTAATTATTTTTAAGTATAGATCATCATCATGTACAAATATGCCAAACGTTTGAGTATTTTGAAATAAATAGCAGTTAGTATGAACAAAAATATATTAATACAAATTGATATACAACTTTCCAGGAAAGCCAGTGCTGCCGTCTCCTGCTACGACCATGTTGAGGCCCGATGCGACGACCAAGATCTTAAAAGTAACATTACCGCTCAGATCAACAGGGATATTTCCATATGTCCGGATGAAGGTAGTGAAAAAAAAAATTCTGTCGACAGGATATAGATCTAAATGAGATTTTTAAGTGTCATTTTTTTATCTTTAAAAATCCACAAACAAATAGAAAGCTTGTTGAACTCTCTTTCTTCAAGTGCGATTTTCTTTATAATCTTCATCCCTTTTTAATTTCGTGTATATTAAGTACAGAGGACGTATTGTAATCGTGCCTAAATCATGATTGAAATTTTCAAAAATCTAGACGTTTTATACATTTCTGAGTCGTAAATTTTTTTTTCAATCTTGTCTGTGTGTGTGTGTGTGTGTGTGAATGTGTGTGCATGAGTCTGTCTGTCTCTGAACAAGATAATTTGAGTACCGTGAAATGCAGCTAGGTTGACGTAATTTCATAAATAATTAATATATCAAATTTATAGTTCTGTATCAACTTGTGAGCGATTTCCGATAAACGGAAATGGAACTAATTCCACTTTAAGTTTTTCAATAGCCTATCAATTAGGTGTTGTTTCTATTAGATAGAGGAAATATTACATATGTAGATCTAATTCTTTGTTTACAAATAAATCTTGAGTAATTCCTTATGACCGGAATAAGTACTTTATCCTCTTTCCGATTTCTCAACGCATTTATTTTTAGCTTGATCCCACTATATCTCTTTATAAAGTACTAATGTTCCGTATTATTATACACAGACTATTTGCTGTTCATTAGATGCGCAATTCATTTTCTACTAGATTTTATTCTATTTTTTAAGTGTAGTTTCTTGGCTTCATAGTCTTCAGCCTAGTCAAATACCAAAATATGATACAATTATTTATTGGTTGTTCAAAATTCAGAAACGTCTGCCGAGGAGGACTCTGAGTGCGCCAAGTACAGTAGGAAGATTGATGAACATTCCGACGCTGTCGTAGACTGTGTGCATACTTTTTCAGAAAATAAAAAACAGCTTGCCTTAACCTCTGACACGTTTTCTGGTCACGATGCTTCAGCCGTCAACGTTTGCCCGTGTGTTATTCTTAACTGTGTTAATTTGATTTTTTATGTAGGTTTATTTAACGAAAAAAATAAGCTAAACTTGCACGAACAAGTTAAAATATCGTAATTGTATAAAAATTATTTTAATTTTACTAAATCATTGTGTAGTATATATATATATATATATATATATATATATATATATATATATATATATATATATATATATATATATATATATATATATATATAGTGTAAAAGTGTAATAAGTCGCTTAGCGTTTATGACTTGTAATTGTTTTGTTAATATTTCCTCCTTAGGTTGTTAGATCAGCTATACCTATGTGTGCTCACAAAAAGTACTGAAATCTGTGGAAATGCTTATGGAAGTTCCACGAGCCGCTCGTTTGATCAGTCGTATCGGTCTGTCTTCTACGGCTCAGAATGTGGCTTTGATGCCAGGAAGGCTCGTGAGTGTTTTTGGAAGAATAACTTATAGAATTTTTTTTGGTTGTAATTTGTGATTTTAAAAAAAGTATCATATTAACTTCTAAACTTGATCACTTTTACCTGTTTCTTTAACTTTACAGTTGATTAATGTTTTCGTTATATTATTTGTTAAATAGAATCTTAAACTATATTCCCCAGGTCGTAGTGTTGAGAATATATTTCCATTACTGTCTAAGACAACAAAACTAAAACGATGAACATCTGATTTGGCGTATTGATAAAGTCTATGCTTTATAAAACGGTTTTTTTTTTAAAAATCGTTCTTGCTGTGAATAGTTATTTTGATTGAAAAATAAATAAATGGAATCTGTTTTATGAGTTTGAAAGAGTAGAATATAAAGGTCCTAGGACCTTTGACCACAGGTGCTTTGACCATAGGGGGTTTGACCATAGGGGGTTTGACCACAGCGGAGCTTTGACCATAGGGGCTTTGAACATAGGGGGTTTGATCATAGGGGGTTTGACCATAGGGGGTTTGACCACAGGTGTTTTCTCAGCAGAGGGTCTTTGATCACATGTGGTCTATCAACTGGTGTTTGATCACAAGCGCTGTGTCCGGCTTTGATCATAGGTGTGATACAATTAACACGATTTTATACATGTTTCCTGAGAGTACGTTAATAGAAATTAACATGTATTTAAAAAAAGCCAAGAACTATATTTTAGTCTCCACATAAAGGCTGGTGCTAGGCCTCATAGATTTATTTTAAATATAAATGAATCACAAATATTGCGTTATATAACAAGTTTCACAAATAAATAATGTAGATGTACTTTAAAAAAATACATAGCATATATAAAGGATAAAAAATGATACAAAACTTGCCAACAATATAGTCAAAGATGTAATACATAAAATGGTTAACTAAATGACAGATGTGCTATAGCACGCAAATATGTCAGTACATCTGTTTGACCATATATCTGGACAGCACGTTGTACTTTTTCGTGCAGCATCTTTTATCGCTTCTCAGCTGGGTAGTGTTTTATTTGGCAAGAGACAGTATAACGCAGCAGGGTTGATGCCGTTAACAAATTGACATAGAGTAGTTTAGATGACTTGTATTTATACATGATGATTTAACATATTACATCATGTCGAAATTTAAAATATAATTTAGCAACTTTTAAAATAAATCCTTACCATATATGGACAGCATTGGACAAACCACCTGAGATCAAAGACCCTATGTGGACAAAACACCTGAGATCAAAGACCCTATGTGGACAAAACACCTATGATCAAAGCCGGACACAGCGCTTGTGATCAAACACCAGTTGATAGACCACATGTGATCAAAGACCCTCTGCTGAGAAAACACCTGTGGTCAAACCCCCTATGGTCAAACCCCCTATGATCAAGCCCCCTATGTTCAAAGCACCGCTATGGTCAAAGGCCCGCTGTGGTCAAACCCCATATGGTCAAAGCCCCTATGGTCAAAGCTTCGCTGTGGTCAAACCCCCTATGGTCAAACCCCCTATGGTCAAAGCACCTGTGGTCAAAGGTCCGCGCACCAATATAAAATATAGTTTTGATATAAATAAAATGCAACTTTTGAAATCACAAAATAACTCATTTAAACATGCAAAGCTGACTGAAAGTGGCAGTAAAATTGTATAGCATAACTTCAAATACCTAACGCATAAATAAAATAGCAGGATTCTATAATCTCTTTAAATAATATGTTCTAATCATCCATTCATTATATTTATGGGCAGAGTATTATTACTTACCTCGCGTTTGGAGCATACAAATATCTCAACCAATGGAGAAAACTTAAGACTAAAACTTGTTATATAAATGATTAAATTTTAACAGAACTTACTTTCACTGTTAAAATATTATAATAATGTTTAAACTAAACACGAAAATCTTCTCTTGATTAGGTTTTAATCCACAGTTTTTCCCCAGCCTATGGTAGAACAACAACATGCTAACTCATTGAAGTCAATATTTGATAGTTGTGGACGAAATGGTCACCTTAGCGTTTCTTTAATCAACAGGCAAACCATGCCATGAGTGATCATTATCAGATAAAATTGTCATGATTCAGGTCATTATAAAGTATGAGCCATTTTGGCTAATACTTTATAGAGTAATAAAAAAATATACGGCCACCAGTTACATAGCCTTGTCTCAAACCTGTCACTAAAAGACGTCACAAAATCTCCCACCAAAAGATATAAAAAAAACACAAGTTGTCACCAAAAAACATCACAAAATATCCTAATGTAAGCCCTGCAAGGGGAGGGGGGATACCTAAAATCTACCCTTCTAGGCTTATCTAACTAACAGTAGCGTACGCAGGGGGGAGCAGGGGGAGCAGCCGCTCCCCCTCTGGCCATTTTCAGCAAAGTGGCGCCTTTTTGGAAACTTTTTAAACTCAAAGTTTTAAACAATGATATTTGTTAAAAAAATATTTTTGGTCGGCACATCGATGTAAATCACAAGATTTCTTTTCATGCAGCAATTAAGCATTATTGTACTAGTCTAGTAGTGTCTACGTTTACAACACGTATTAACAGCTACATCAGCTTGCCATTCTAAAAATAACCATTACGATGCATTGCAATGTTTAAAAAACCTCTACGGTAGTACCACTTGGCAAGAGGGGTGTTGAGTTTAAGGCAACTGTATAATGTATTTGCTTACGAATAATTGAATTAGAAAATGTTATACATAAAACTTCACACATAATTACTTTATATATACAGTTTGAATCGTGTGATTAATTTTTAAAAAATTACAATACAGAAACAAATACAACTGATGTGGCACCTCTATTTAAATTTACTTATGAGCAAACTACGTAGTGGTGGGGAAATTTTGACAAGGTCAACAATGTCATCACGATGAAGTAGTAGTATTCTTACAGTTTGGGCGATAGTGATTATGATTACAAATTATATGAAACAATTACAACCCCACCCTCTCCCATGGACCCTTCTGTAAAAAAATATTGTCATAATACCACAGCTACTTATTTAAATCTATTTCTGTAATATATATTTGTGTAATATATATTTGTGTAATATATATGTATGTTTAGAACAGTTATCTAAAAACTGACGCTATGTTCACTCTGAGTTGGTGTAGAGCGACATTAATGTCACACCTAGGTATACGCTGGGTTGGATAATTGACCTAAAGTGAACGGACAGTGATGAATGAAGTTGAACCCCCCCCCCTAAACCCACCCTGAACTGATCTGTTAAGTACATGTAGAAAAACGCGTAATGATGTACCAACGTACCATGCCGCCAGAAATTTAGCTTTTAAACGTAAAACTCTGTGAATATTGTTTTTGCAATAACCAGTAAAAAGGTGTGTGATCAATACAGTGATCTAACTCATACCTATCACTATGTTAAAAAATGATCTTTAAAGTACACAAAGAAGCAGTAGTTAATTAAAATAAACCGGGAGTGATCTCCCCTAAACTTTCTCGAATATTCATATTTAAAATAACAGGGGATGGGAACTCGGGCTTTAGACATGATTTTTAATCAATTTTAAATACTTAAAGTTTTAAAAATAGAATAAAATCTCGTAGACAAATTAATTGCACACCAAGTGAACGCCAAATAAAAAAGCGCATAATAGTGCGCAATATTATTAGTACTTTTAAAATTTACAATAGTTTTTTGAGAAATCGGAAGTAGCGTAAATCACTACTTCCGGTCAACGGAAATTACTCAAAATTTAACAGAAGGTAGAGAAATAGATCTTTTACTTACGTGTGAAATTTCATTTATCTATCTGAAATAGTACTCAAGTTATAGGCTTTTGAAAAATTCAAAGTAGGAAAAGTACCACTTCCGGTTATCGGAAATCGCTCAAAAGTTGATACGGATCTACGATTTTGATAAAATACTTATATATGAAATTTCATCAACCTAGCTGTAACGGTACTCAAGTAATCGTGTTTACACACGGACACACACACAGACAGACAGACACACAGACACACAGACATACGGACAAGATTGCAAAATTATGTTTTTCCGTATCAGTGAGGTGTAAAACGTCGAGATTTGTAAAAATCTCTATTTTTTTTGCACGATTACTTCGTATATACGAGAAAGTAAATATATGATCTGAACTAAAAGACCAATTTCTAGTTAAATGCAGGATGTTATTCCGAATGTTTTTCTATTATCTTCTTCTTCTTGTTTGGGGTTTAAAGTCCGCTTTCAAACTTACGATTTTACGAAAAGCGTGGTTTTATACCAATTCTGAATTTAAAAACTGTTATTATGCTGTAATACTTTAGCATTTATGATGACGATATATTAAATTTTGATTATAGACAAAAATATTTTGTAAACACGAATAGTGTTAAGCAATTTCATTATATACTAAAGTAATTATTTAATTTGTTGTGACATTTATAATTAAATGTGTAGATATATACATATTTATAGTAAGAGAGTGATAATTTCCCCTATTTCACTTGTCTTAATAATTTCCCAGGAATTATTATGTAAGAAATTTTTTTTACAAGAATTACAAAACAGATTATGGTACGTTCATTGTTTTTGGTTGTAGTGTGTGAATATATTTATATATTATTTTTTGTTTAGATTGATACAATTTTTGTTTTGTCGGCCTACATTGTGTGTGTTTTCTTATTTCTTCAGAGTGCTACTTTCAATTTATTTTACATCATAGCGAAGTAATGACATACAGCTAGTTATATATATATATATATATATATATATATATATATATATATATATATATATATATATATATATATATATATATATATATAATACACGTATATAGAACGTGTTAAAAATTCGGCGCCTTTTTTTGCTCTTTTCGCTCCCCCTACAACGAAAACCTGGATACGCCTCTGGCTCAGGTCTGGATGGTATATTAATTATTTAGCTATATATATAAATTTAAATATTAATATAAATATATATATATATATATATATATATATATATATATATATATATATATATATATATATATATATATATATATATATATATATATATATATATACGAGTTTGTGTGTGTGTCTGCCACAGTCCGGAAACGATTTAATAATTGACTCCGGAAACGATTTAATAATTGACTTACTTGACTTTGACTTCGTCCTCTTTGCTCCTTATGGAGCATAGGGCCTCCACCATTTCCTTCCATTTCTTCCTATCCTCGGCTATTAATTTTGACATCTCCCAAGACATCCCTATTGGCTTCAGTTCTTCAAGAAGACTCCGCCTCCAGGTCTGTCTTTGGCGCCCTCTCTTCCGCTTTCCCTGGGGGTTCCACTCAAGCGCTTGGCATGTAACA